TATCACCGCAGTACATCCTATAACCCCCCCCCCCCCTTCCCCATTGTCGCCGTCAGATTCTCGCAAGTCACGCATAGAGAATGTAGCAGTCGTACCAGTGATCGGAATTTGGCCACACTGGAGTGCAAGGCTCATTGAGACCCATTGCTCGTCCAAAGCCAAAGGATATCCCTGTGTTCTACCGCCCCCGTTTTGTTCAGCAAAGGCTCTCGAGTCATACGTTTAAACTGTTTCTTACCGCGTCACTGATAGGCTGTCATCCACTCCTATATTTCCAAGGACCATGCCAGCCCTAGCTACAGTTAGCTGGATCAATCTTTTAGCCTGGAAAACTTGCATAAGAATTCTCACGGGCATATATGATACCTCTTGCTCGCGACCGACACATCTCCATGACCTTTTCCATACCAAAACCATATTTCTCGGACCTTCCAGGTCGATACCCATCCACCACAACATCGGAATCCTCCATAAGCCGCCGCAGACGATCGTAGTCCTCGGCTTTTCGAAGGTCCAGAAACGCATTCCATTTTCCCCAGTTTAGATAAGGATGCATGCCAGTGAAGTAGGGTAGGTGTGGAGCTACCACTCGCATGACACTGGCGCCCAACTCAGCCAGGCCACGTGAGATAGAAGGCCCTGCTATCACACGCGTTAGGTCCACAACTTTCAATCCGGCCAACGGCCTTCGAAGTGATGTGTCTCTAGTTGATGGTCACCAGCTAGCTGCCTGTCCAGCAAATCTCATATGATGAACTTCGTACAAGGCTGTGTTTGTATTTGCTCGTCCATGTTCGCTCATCAGAAAATCTCCTCGTTTCCGCACAATTGTGCAGGCTTGTTTTGCATCTTCGTTTAGTAGTACTTCAAGACCAGTCGCCGTACGCTCTGAACATATTCCCATGTATGGTTTGTAAGATTCTGGTAGGACAGTGATCTCTGGCAAATCCTCCGGCATGCCAAGTGCAGCAATGGTTGGGCCAGGATTCAAACTGCCTTCACGTCATAGTTAACGATGGAGCTCATCCTTAATTCTGCCCATATTAATTACCGTGACCATGGATGAATTGGTCGTCTGATGTTTTATATATGTTTGTTGCCGCTCGCCGATACAGCGAGGAGGCCATGCTATGGATGTCTTGCGGCGGGAATAGTTCTGCATATTTCGCGTTAAGTTCCCTGACAGGTGTTGGGTTCACCTGAAATCCTTCCCGAGGTTCGGCAGACACCAGAAGCGAGCTCATAAACAATCATTAAGCAAGATCCCTATACAGCTTGAGCAAATGGCAACAGCCAGGAAAGCAAAGATTTGTTCACGCACGTACTGATTACAACAGATAGTGGAGCGGTGTTATATTTCCGGCCGATGAGTACGTTGATCATGGCAGCTTCGAATCCTTTGAGTGCAAACATGCTCTCAGCAAGTCACCAGTTCACTGCGATTGAAGGGAGCCGGGAGCCAACATATTTGACAATTGCAGCGCATTGCTGGATCTCTGAGGGGAGAGTTGTTTGCAAAGGATTTTGGGTTATCCCTTGGTGTAGTAAACGCAAGGACTCATCACGTGTTGAGTAGGTATCGATTGTGGCCATATCGTGAATATATTGAGCCGTTGGGAATATGGTTCAAGGACTCCAAACCAGGGTAGCAGTGTCGATTATCACGAGGGCTTGGCGAAAAGCGCCGAATAACCCAAAACATTGGTTGCATATTAATAAGTACTGTTCTGGCCAGTGAGCATCAGACCGAGCTCTGAAGCTGACAGTACTCGCTCGGCCCGAGCCAGGAGTCTGCGGAAGTTCACACGGAGCAACACTATTCAGGAAGCATTATACCATGGCATCACCGATGGGGATGCCATACTGCACGACTCAAGGAATGTTTATTGTCAATACAATGGATCACAATACCGAATGAGCTGAGTCGGCCACACAACCTCCTTCCCGGCATTTGAATACCAGTATGGCCGTACTACAGCAATTAGTAAGCGAAGCCTCAAGAAGAGCCTCACCTAATCTTGGGCTTTTGATCTTTTTTTTGGTCATCTTATATCGCTTTTTGAAGATAGCATCTAGGCCTAGAGACTACCCACCAGGTGCGTTCCAATCACACCCCAAACGCGAAATGTGTTGACCGCAAAGGCCCACCAACACTTCCGCTCATAGGCAACTTGCACCAAATTCCAAACAACAACATTCACTTACAATATCAGAAATGGGCAAAATAATGTAAGAAACTCAGCCGCCGTAAGTTAATACAATACAACTGATGTCTTCACTTGGTAGATGGGCCAATATTCTCCTTGAAATTAGGACAGTCAACGACTATCGTTCTGTCCGATGGTCAGGTAATTCATGATCTTGTTGACCTACGAGAATCCGACTATGCAGACAGACCTAAGCTATGGGTTCGCGAATTGTTTGATGGATCTAGGATCATCATGCGAGGTTATGATGATCTATGGCGCATAGAACGCAAACTCTACCACATGGACCTCAACCTGACTGTCGCAAGGAAATACCTTCCTTACCAAGAATTGGAAACACTCCAGATGCTGACCCAGATAAACGATGACCCGGAAAACTTTGTTCTCCATGTGGGCCGAATGATGGGAAGCATGGCTACGAGTATCGCATATGGGTTTCGTTTGCCCAACACGACGGATCTTTTAACCCACGAGATGCTAGAAAACTTGCCTGGGTTCTTTCATTGTGTCGTCAAGTCCCAGATCCTGGACTGGTATCCTTCATTGAAGCCGTTCGTGAACCTAATACCTCGCGTAATGAATCCATGGGCGAAAGAAGCTTTAGCTGCATACCAGGACGAGAAAAGGGTGTTTGAGAGAGCATATGAAAGAGGCATTCAGGGCCGACTTCCATGTTTTGCCACCGACATAGAGGCTTCAAAATCAAAATCGAGAATCTTGACTGATCATGCGGCTGTCTACATTTGTCAGATTTGATGGGTCTTCAATGATGGGGTCAAAAACAGGTGTTCATTCATGCTATCTCCTAAGGTGTCGCCTTTTTGTGACCTTTTCTTTTCTTTTCTTTCCTTGGCCTTATGCATGGGCCTCAACTAAAGCCTTACTTCTGACAACATTGCAGGCATAGCATTTGAAGGAGGAGCGGATACTACTCGGTACACTCTTCAGGGGCTTTTCAAAGCTATGGCTTTGTTTCCAGAGGCCCAGAATACAGCTCAAGTTGAGCTTGATAAGGTAGTTGGGCCCTCAACGTTACCATCTGGTGACCATCTCACATCTCTGAAATATATCCGTTGCACAGCCAGGGAACTTGTGAGGTGGATGCCTAATGCAATCAATGGATCTATACCGCATGCAACTGTCGCAGAAGACAAATACCGTGGTTATCGTATCCCTTCTGGAGCCGCGGTTGTACTCGCTGTCTGGTCAGCGAGTCATGATTCTCAGGACTTTGATGACCCCAGGACCTTCCGCCCAGAAAGAAAGGATCCAGAGACGAGCTTACTCGAGGCCTTGAATGCCCCCTCGCCCAAGAGTCGGGGGTTCTATGTATTTGGTTCTGGTCGCCGCATTTGCCCAGGGATGCATGTCGCGGAAAACACACTCCTGCTCGCGATAGCACGTATCCTGTAGACACTCGATACCAGCAAAGCGAAAGATAGTAGTGGTAACGTGATTGAGACTGATCGAGATGCTATGGTAGGAGGACTAGCAGCTAAGCCAGCGCATTTCAAGTAAGAGTCCATTATAGCTTTTGAGCTACATTGTATAATTTCGTGTGGCTTACCTCTGCTACAGGTGCAAGATTGTGCAACGTAGTGCTGAACGTATGGCTATAATCGATAAAGAGTGGGAAAACCTAGCAGCGGATTGTCTAGATGCAGATGAAAATTACAAGCAAAGTATGTTTAACAAGCTCTGAAGTTTTGCAGATGACAGTGCGGATGAATCTGATTGTCTTACAATCTAATGCTGTGCTTGGCCTCTCGGGCCATCGCACTAGCCATCAAGCATACAAGAGATTATCATGAAAATCGGATCTCTTGACCATTAACCCAATTACCGTGCAATCCAGCCCTCAAACGAAGAGGTAGATAGATAATAGCTTGTGCCTTTCCAAACTGTTTGGTACTTACAATATGTAACTCGCTCGACATGGTAGAGTAATTGTTCACTAGTGCCACAATCCAGCCATCGCCCTCACCTGCGCCATGCCTCGCAATGAAAACAGGTTCTTGAACGAGGTGAGTCTTGCCAGGGAAGTATTTTTCCATGCGCATTGTATTGTAGTCAAGATACCCAATAGAATTATACGGTGGGTAGCCCCCTCCCATTACCGGCGCGATCGCTGCGAAATCGGTTCCCAGGCTTGGATCCATAATATCCATGAAAGCATGACCATGCATCTTACCAAGAAAGCGATCATCGATACGTGGAAACTCACAATCCTCGTGAACAATGACCAAAGGTCTCGGCAGATCAAGGTCCGTGGACTTTGGATCAAACGTGAAGCGAACGAGTTCTGTGGCAATCTGCTCGGGCCGAGGCGCGTTTCCACTAGCATCGGGCCACCAGAAAAAGACATTTTTGTTGGTCAGAGGAAGGTCAAAAACGATATTTCCCGAATCGTCCTCATATGCGTTGACAGTATGTCCGGGGAAGGCGTTTGGAGCGCGAAACCATTTTACATCAGATCCCAACGCGCCATAGCGAGGTAAGACGCCCAGATAGAATGGAATATTTGGATCCCATTGCCAATGTTCGCCCCCTTGCTTCATGCGTTCAAGCTCACAGGTCTGCGGAATGATTGGAAACAATACCTTCATTGCGTCAGCACTTCAGAATCTCAGCAGAAGGGGATGGATCAGACCCAGTTCTTCGTAAACGCAAAGTCGTGAATCATAGCAACTACTGGAGCAACAAGCCATACAGTTTGGGTAAAATCGCCCCGGGCATCTATCGTGAAATAGCAGACGTCTGGAGTGCCGTCGCCCTTCGCTTCGTAACCAAAGCACATTAGCTCGTCAGTCTCGTCATCGAGTTTTGGATGTGCAGTGAAGGTTACGCAAGGCAACTGCCCGTCGAATGATTCCAAACCAATAGTTTCGAGCGTCACTGGGTCTAGTGAATATGGAGGAGAATCTTCTTTGCATGCCAAGAGACGGCCATTGAAGAAGATAACGTTAGTATTTGCAGTACTTCGTACTTTGAATTCAACGGCATCAGTGTACTTGTTACGATACTTCCCTGGAATACAAAAAAAGTTAGAAGTTCCGGTCAAAGTTGAAAAAAGAGGGTGCTCACCAATTAGGGAACGTCGAGCCTCCCGTTCTCTGGCAAATTTTTCCGTCACTACGTATCTTTGCTTGAAATGGCAACGTCCATCTTTAATCCGAAAAGCGCTGATGTTGCCATCTCCATTGAACCACTATACTGAACGCATTAGTGGCGGTGCAGCAACCGAACGGACGACAACGACTTTTGCTTACCGGATCGTTCTCGACGAAGGGCGGGAATTGCGGGTCTGGCATGACCCGATAGAATGTTCCATCTATCTCGGAAGGTATTTCGCCCCATACCTCGAGATCCTGGATCTCCCCTTCGAATCTACATGGCTTCATGAACCCTGAAAACTGGGGCTGCTCAGGGAACATATTGCTAACTCCACTTGCTCGAAATTGATCTAACATTGCTGGCCGAGGTTGGATTTGCATACGCGAAGAAAGACGCGAGTAGTTCCGATTCTGCTCCACAACATATATGCAGCGGTGTCTCTGATTAAATGTGTCCGGGCCCCGAACCAAGTGCCGGTCCAGCCGCTGACCCAGGCGTGTTCATGTGGCAACCCGACGGTTATAACTCCCCGGCACTCCCGGCCCACCAGTGGCTAATTTGTTAGATTGAAAATCATCACAAGAAACCGAACTCCGATACCGGAAGCCCTGACGGCGTGTCAATGCTACTGAAATTGAAGCTTCGAGTATGGAATGCTTTCACTATTCGAAAGACACAATTGCATATTCAATAAGGTATTTAGTTCAATAACTCCGAAATGGAATATGTTTGACTTGGGTCTTTCATTTACGGGTAAATTGCAGCGTACAATCTACACAAGCCTGGACTATGTTTTATTCAACATCCTGCTAGGCAACTCTGGTTTTCAGATTCTCTGGCTAAATTCGGCCGTTGATGTTACCGTGGTTGTGCTCCCCTCTCCACTTTGCCCCGAAGAAATAGAACGGAATCGCCATCAGTGTACCTACTAAAACCAACATAAACATGATCATGTAGACCTGCACCCATCCTTGCGCAGCAATCCAGTCAGTGGCGGTGAACAAAAATAGGAAGGCGACCAGGTTCTTGAAAATATTGATCGTCACCAGGCTTTCAGTAGAAAACTTGTAGTGGCTTTCTACCACATAGGTGATCACGATGTTTGGGGCATAAACAGTACCAAACGATACTGTTGTCGCGTCAGAACTAGCTCACCGGGTACAAGAGAATGACATACCCATTCCGAAGCCGAAAGCGATAGCAACCCAGTGCAGCTTTTCCGAGCATGCGAAAGCTATCAGAATGCACCCAGCTGGTGCAATGAACCCGCCAGGAATAAGGGACATAAGGCGCTGCTCTGAATACACAGCTCCATCCTGCCGCCTGATCACAGCTGCGGTGATTAGGTCAGCAACATATCCACCCATGAAGCAGCCCACTAAGAAGCCGATGATTGCGGAAATTTCCATTAGACCTACTCCAATGGGCGAGAACATGTACGGTGGAGATTGGAGCAGACTTGAAAAAGCGAAACTAGATTATCATTAGGACACGAGTGTAGGTGTCGGCTTTGGATGACAACGTACATGAGGATGATCTGAGCCGCAAGAGAGGTTCCATATACAAATATGGCAAACAGAATGCTAGGGCTGACTATCATCTTCAGAGGGCGAAGAAATATCTCGAGTAGTCCGGTGTCGTGATTGATTGTGACGATACTGGTCCATATGCTCAGCCATGGCCTGTGGACAATCTTGATGTAGTGTCGATTGATGGTTTCCGTTCTGACAGTAGTTACCTTCTCTGCTTCCGGATCTCCTCTAGGATGGGAATCTGATCGAATAGTATGAGGAGGTACATCCGATCTGACGAAGTTGGATTCGGGGTAGAGAAGGTATATGGCCACCAAATTAGCACCAGCCAAGGCTGCACAAACCCACATGTAGTCAACCCAGTTGCCAGGGCTATACTGCACTATGAATGCAGCAATCAGCGGACCTATAGCTGTCGCGATAGACACAAGAATTGTGTAACTATCAATAATACTATTTAGTATGAAAGCACATGGAGTACGGAGTGGTGGCCTAGCTTACCCAGACATCATGGCAGCGCGCTCATGAAGAAAAAAAATGTCTGAGACTATACCAGGGACGATGCTCTATCTGATAATGAGTGTTCAGAGTTTCCACACGAGACGGCGCCTATTTACCTCACCCGCGGCGGCGGCGAAGCCAGAAAAGCATCTTGCAGCCAACAGTCCGGTGTAAGTTGTCGTCTTGGCTGTTGCAATGAGAACAACAAAGAGCATAAATGTCGCAAGGAGTAGCGAGGCTCGTTTACCATACTTCACACCTAGCGGCACCCAGACAGAGTTCGCAACAAGCAAGTCAAGCAAGTTTTGACAGTCAACTTGACTTACTTGGCACGATTTTTGAATAAAATAATACTTGCTTGACTTGGGAGCAATACCAGAAGAACTTACTTGGTAAACTTGAATAACTTGGGTAACTTGGACGATTTTCAGAGGTAAAGTGTCTATTAATTACTATGTAGGCCCCTCC